GGCTGCCCCACCCCGCGGAGGTGGGGGGGGCAGGGGCAGCTGAAGGGCCGAAGGGCCGGCCAAATGGCCGCCCAGCGCCGCCCGAAGGCCCGAGCCCCTCACCTCGCCGAGGCATAGTCCCATGACCTCCTCCTTTTCGGTGCTCAGGGCATGGTTGAGGGCCACCAAAAAGGCGTCCGACTGGAGGTGCACCGCCAGGACGGCCATCTTGGATTGGCCCCGGCGCGCGCCGGTAGCCCGCCCCCTTTATTACCGAGGCGCTCGCGTGCCCAACCCGCCACTCGCCCCCTAGTGCCAGAGCAGCCGGTCGTGACCCGCAGAGCTCTTTCTCTCTCGACAGAGCGGCGGCGGCGGCGACCGTGACCGTTCGGCTGTGTCGGCCCTCTTCAACCCGCTTCGGCTTCCCTCTCCTCTGCCTGTGTGTCGGCCCGGATCCGGCGGCGCAGCCACCCAGCGGGTCCGTGCGAGCCCCCGGGGGGAGGCGGGACGCGGGGCCGGGCGGGCGGCCGGGGTGCCTGGGGGGTGGGGGGGGGGGGGGGGGCGGGGGGCGGCGCGGGGGCGTGCGGGGGGGGGGGGGGGGGGGGGGGGGGGGGGGGGACGGCGCGGAGGCGTGCCCGGGGGAGGAGAGAGGGCCGGCGAAGGCGGGTCGAGCGGGCCGGCTGGCCCGGGGAGGCCAGGAGGGGGCGGCCGGTGGCGGGGGCGGTGGCAGGGGCCGGCGGCCTGGTGAGAGGCGGGCCGCGGGGTGGGGACTCGGGGCGGAGGCGAGACGAGGCGAGGCCAGGGGCGGGCGGCCGTCGGAGAAGAGGGCCCTGAGGTGGTGCTTAGTGAACTTTGAGGCTCCGGAGGAGCTGAGTGTTTTGGTCAGAGAGAGGCCGCTGGGCGCCTAGCGCCGGGGCTGTCAGGGTTGCCTAGACACCGATGACGCGAGGCGGGTTCTAGAACTTTCCTTTCTCCTCAGGCGCCCGCTAACGGCCCCTCCCCCTCGCGCGCCCTTCCCGCGCTTTTACGCTCGGCCTCGTGCGGCCCTCACGGGCCGCCGCCCCTCCCTCTCCCTCAGCGGCCTGGAATCCTGCGCGAGCCCCGAGCGCCGGCCCCTAGGACACCCTTTGGAGATGGTGTGCTTCCCTCCCCCCCTTTCCAAGGAGATTAGTTAGGCTTCAGGTTTAGGGATCTTTTCCCCGTGATTGTCACTTCAAGTAACGAGAGGGAAGGGAGGGGAGAGGAGCCATTCTATTTTATTTCGTTTGGCCGCGACAAAACGAGGCCGGAAAACTGAGAAACATCAGGTGGCAGAGTGTTGGATTTTATTAAAAAATCTCATTGATGTCTTTTCCGTGGTGGAGGGGAAGGGAAGGAAGAGGAGGTGTTCCAAGGGTGTGAGGGATCAGATTGAACTTTTGGGCCTTTTCCTCTAACCAGGATTGGATTTTTGCCCTGCTCCTTCTTATGGTTGGCGGCTCCCGGAAGTCAGCCAGCATCAAGCCCTCCTCAGTGGCCTTGAGCTGCCACTCTCTTGACTCAAGGTCTGGAAGGTGCTTTTTACCAATCTCACACATACAGAGTCAGAGCACAGCTTTAGAAATGGGCCTTTGGGGTCTATAATCTAAGGAACATTGAGGGTTCTAGTGTAATGCCATGATCCCATCACATTTTCTTCTTAAGTCTTGGAAGTCAGGTAGGTTTGGCAGTAGTGGGAAGGAAGAAATATTGAAGAGCTTCCTGAATTATTGGTAGTCTTTCCTCTTTTCTCTAAGTCAGTTTCAAACCGATTTCTATCTCACTTTGGACTTGGGGCAAGAAACCCAGTGGTACCTACGGTCTTTTTGATTCTCTGAAAAGAGCAAGATTCTTGGCACACGAGCTTATTAAAGATCCCATGGCACTTTTTTCAGGATTAACAACAGTTGGACCAAAAAAGCATCTTTGCACGGGACCACCTAAATTTTCCCCAAAGTTTCCCTTGATTTCCCATCTAAAGCAATTGTGCCAATTCTTCTATGAATGTACAGAGGTGACTACTTTTGGGTGGTGGATAATTTTACTTTGTAAAATGTTTAGATATATTCAGGATGACAATATAATTATTAATTTATAATTATTATAATTATCACCATATAAGTATTAGGTGACACTATTATAGTCCATTTTTATTCCAAAATTACATTCATTAATTTTCAGTGCATGTATATAGTGTGGTTTTTCACAACTTGAATTATTTATGTATTGTACAGCCATAAAATTGTCTGGTGGTTAAGATTAAATAATCAATTCAGTTGGACCAATTTAATTACTGATCATTCAATTCAATAAAAATATTTTAATTATTGATTCTTCAAAGAAAATAAGTATATTTGATGGGTAGACATTAGTAATTGTAGCTAAAAACCTGTAAATTTAAAGCAGCTTTCTAATTGCAAAACAAACATCAAAAAAATCAAATGAATTGTATAGGGAAGCCTTTACCTAAGTCCTTTCAGTTTAAATAACACAAGATTTGAAACAGAAATACCAGTATATGTCAGAAGAGCAGTGTGTCTCATCTAATAAGACCTTCTTTGATGTCCTCTCAAGCAGTTAGGGATTTCCCTAAATATCCCCACTTTGCCTTAGTAATTCATCATGGCTATATCATCCTTGAATTTATCTAACTTCTTCTTGAACCTATTTGTTTTCATCCTCTACTTGGAGAGGCACCATAACACGATGAAATAACAGTTTGGCAATCAGGAGTCCTGGCCTCTAGTCCTGTCACTGGATATGGGACCTTGGGCAAATCACATTACCTCATAGACCTCAGTTTCCTCATCTGTCAAATGTGATGGGATTGGATGAGGGATCTCTAAGGTCTCTTCTAGCCTTAATGTTCTCCAATTCTATTCCTCCAGTTAGCATTCCTTCCTCTCTGCTTCCTTCTCTGGCTCAGCTGTGGGCATACACCAACACCATTCTGGCCCTCTGCTTTTCTTCCTTTATATTCACCACTTAGGATTTCATCATCCACTCTTAGGGCCGCAAGCATCACCTCAACGTGCATGACTCCCAAATCTCCAGCTCCAGCTCATGGCTTTTCTGACTTCCAGTATCTTGTCTCCAATTGTCTTTGGAACACACTGGATGCCCCATCAGAACCTCAAACTCAACTTTGTTGGACAGATAAACACGACTTTTGATAGCTGATCATATACCTGTGGAACTAGTTGAGCCTGGTCAGTCACAGGATCCACCCAGAGTAAGAATCTGCATGCTATAGTGGAGAGTGCTGTACTTAGAAAAGACTCGGTTCAAATCTCACTCATTAGATTTGTGACCATGAGCCATCATCTCCCTAACCTTCTAACTTCCTTTTCTGTAAAATGTGAATCTTAATACCCATCATACCTACCTTACAAGGTAGCTGTGGGGATCAAGTGAGGTAATGTAGGTAAAGTGCTATATAAAAACATTAGCTGTTACTCTATTGGAGTCTCTCTAGCTTGGTGGAATCTGCCAGGGCTTGAGTTGTGCTGTTACGGTATTTGAGGCCCCAGTATTATCTCCAGACCATAATGTAGGTTATTTTAGGGTGTCTTTTGCTCTTAAAAAAATATATATATATATATGTATATATTAAATGAAAGGCCAGTTGCACTGTTGGTCTGTCAGAATAATAGCACTTTAGGATTTACAAAGTGGTTTTTTTATCCCCTGAATCCCCTAAATGAGGAACCAGGACCAGAGAAGCCTACTAGCTTGTTCCAGGTCATGAGAGTTAGGAAATGAAAGCTCTCTGGTCCTTTTAAACCCAGATTTCCTAATGTCATGTCTAGAACTTTCACCATTGTGAAAAGAAAGTTAGGGAAACAAGCTTAACATCTGTTATTTAGGATGCCAGAAATGGCAGTCATAGAATGGTCCTCTCCTCCCCCACTCCCAGTAACTACAAGTATTGGTCACAAGTGGGAGTTATTTAGGGGCCAGTCTGTATCCCCAGAGCCATTTGGTTTTGGCAGAGCCCACTTTCCCTCGACCACTTCCCATATTTGCGTCGTCGCCATTATCTAAGAATGTGAGCGGTTGCTAGAACAGTTGGTTTTTAATGGGCTTCTAGTTTCTTCTGTTGAGTTTTAGGTTTTGAAAACAGGAATTAATTTAGCTAGACCCTAGGTGAGGGGTTCTTAACCTTTGTGTGTCATGGACCTCTTGGGCAGCCTGGTGAAACCTCTGGACCCCTCCTCAGAATTTTGTTTTTGAATATATAACATAAACTATATAGAATGATCAGGGAATCCAATTATATTGAAATACAGTTTTCAAAATATTTAATAAAAAAGAAAAGAAAGCCAAGTTCAGACTCTTGGTTAAGAACCCCTGCCCTAGGTGATCTCTAGCACCAGGTGTTGACTTTCAGGTCTAATAGCTCACTCATGAATTCATTCAGACCCCAGAAATCACACTTGTGTCCTGGGCATGGGTGCTGCAGACTTAGGTGGACAAAAGCAATCTTAGAATTGGAACCCAAAGCCCAGAATGGCAGAAGGGGACATTGTGGGAGCCCCACCTGATCACCTCTGGGTACACCAGGAAGGTGTCTACCGGGATGAATACCAGCGAACATGGATTGCGTTTGTGGAAGAGGTAACTCTTGATTTTCTATCAACTTGGTTTCTATCCATTTTCAGTCTTTGGGGAGGGTATGGTTTCAGTGTTTACAATTATTTCCCCATAGGAGACCAGTTTCGTTAGGGCTCGAGTGCAGCAGGTACAGGTACCCCTAAGTGATGCAGTCAGGCCCAGTCATCTCCCTCCCTCACAGCTACCACTAATGTGGCAGCTGTACCCTGAAGAGCACTACCTGGATAACAACTCTAGGATATGGGAGATAGAGCACCACTTAATGGTATGTATTATAGCTAATTGTTCTCAATTTGATTTAGCCCCCTCTAGGAAAGAGAGAGAAAGAGAGAGCGCTGTATTCTTTTTTCTCTTTGTTTAACAGGTCAGGGGAGTTGAGGAGCTGTTGCTTAAGCTCTTGCCTGACGATTAATCTGGTAAATATTGATGTTATCGCTTTACCCTTTTTATACTTTTTTATGCTTATACGTGGTTATGGAGTTTTAATAATAATATTTGTTTTCCAGGTGCTGGGATTCTAGGAAGATATGTCCATTTGTTGTGTACATTATATGGGAATCACTTCACCCAGCACTGAAGTGCATCTACCTTTGGGGGGAAAAGTGAAAACTGTTCAAGAACACAGCACAACAGTTTAGGAAGGAAAGTGAAGAATACTGTAAAACCGCAGGGGGAATGTTAGGTAGATACAAGGCAAGTCCAGAGGTGGTCATTGAGTCAGGACACCTAGCTTAAAACCTCTGACTCTTGGAAAGTGCCATGGAATCTTTAATGGACATCGTCGGTCAGAACCTCCGTTTGACATCCTCACACAAAAAGCAGCACCTCCAGAAAAGATGCCCTGATCACCAAGGACTTGGTACTGACTTAGACGGGAGCCTTCAGCAGTCAACATGTTTTGTTTTGTTTTTCCCTTTCCTACCCCTCCCCAAACTTTGCATTCCTCTTTCTCCCTTCATAAAAACATCCTAGTTTTTGCTTGCATGTCTTCCATTCCAGCACTGGTATACTTGGATCTACTGAGAACTTAGGAGTTCTGAGAAAGGGCACCACCCAGGTTGGCTCCAGTCTTCAAGGACCTTTCCCCTTTCAGAAATGCCACATGTCTTCAAAGTCTCAGGGAGTTTTAAACTCAATCTCTGTTTACCATATTTTATATTTAAATAACAAACTCCTTTCTTGGAAACTTCCAAAAATCCACTTTAGGTGTTCATAGACACTTTTCCCAGGTAATAGCATTTTAGTTGTTGCCAATTCCCAAGGATGTATTTGATTGCCCTGGTAAGGAGCTTCCTGAGATAAAGCCAAAGTAGCTGGGATAGTTCAGTTGCATTGGGGTTGGAGGATCTTGCTTTTTGGAAAGCCTCTCTATGCTACCATTGTTAACAGTTCTGAAAGTAAATATAAACTATTGTTTTCCCTAATTGAGTGAGGTTGGTACTGTAAATGCAGTCTGCTCATCCTGTAAATGGCCAGAGGGTTTTGTAATTACACTAGTGTAACTTCTTTCCAGTGATGAAGGGGTTCAGAGTAAAAATTTTAGATGAAAATCCCTAAGTCTCAGTATGGTTAGGGGTAGAAAATAGAGCAAAAATAGAGCCTATGAGCCAGAAAAGATTTTTTTATGGGAAAGCAAAATAAACACTCTATAATCGTATTTTTTTTTCTTGTTTTAGTTTTAATGGATATGTCCCAGAAGGATCCCTGCCAGAAACAAGCCTGTGAAATACAGAAATGCTTGCAAGGTACTTACATATGGTGCTTTATTCTAGTGATTTTCTTTTTTTCATTTTGTGTATGAGCTTCAAGAGTCAGACCATCCATCTGCAAGTTAACATTTAACTTGTCTCATAGTAATACCCAGTTTCTGCACTTTTTCTTTCACTGGCTACATTACCAGTGTAAATTAAGGATGATTCTCTTTATGGCTCAAAAAAATATAGTAGCAAGTTCTACTTTTTTCACCTATGTTTTATAAAGCATGATGTTAGTGGGAAAAGCACTGGATTTAGAGTCAGAGGGCCCGAGTTCAAATTCTGGCCCTGATACTTTCTAACTGAATGATATTAGGTGAGACACCTAACTACCGTTGGCCTTAGTTTCCTCATCTGTAAAATGAAGAGTTTTTATTAGATGAGCCCCAAGGTCCCATACGACTAAAAAGCTCTTACCCTGTGGTGTTAAAAAGGGAGGGCTGGTTTTAAATGAGTGGCATTATACTGTGGTTGATTAACCACTTGAACCTGGGTAGAAAGTTGGAGTTCTAGATACCCCCTCAGCTGCTGTGGAATGGGGAAATTAAGGTCCAATTGATGAAGAATGACCACAGCAAAGAATTCTATTAGTGAAGTTGAATTGGAAGAAGGCCCTTTGAAGGGAGGGCTTACCTTCCTGGGCCTGATTCTCATCCCCTCTGTACTCAAAACTGGCTTCTTTCACATGGGGAACTACTTTTGATATCATTGGAATCCCATCACAAGTACAAAGCAGATGAGAATTGGTATATAAGTTTTACTTTTGTTAAATGATGAAGTTTTCAGTTATTTTTCTGAAATCTTAAATGAGTTGTATAAGACTTTTACAAGGAATCCATTTTATTAACCATTTAGGAAGAATTTTAATACCTTATTTACTTACCCCCTTGCCCTCAATTTTGAGAAGGTAAGAAAACTGTTTTTCTCTCCCTAACATGTATAGTATATGTATGTATGTATGTATGCATGTACATATAATGTATGTATGTACATGTGTACACATATACGTGTGTGTGTCTAATGAATAAATACACGCACTTTGAAATAATCACATGGCCAGGACAGACAGACTAAGAATTAAAGGAGCATCTGACTCCATGTTCTTGGCTTGGGTGAAGGGGAGGAGAAAAGGGAGAGCTAGTCAGCATATGGTCCTTGATTCCTATAGCTGCCTTCTAATATAAAGGAGCTAGGAAGAGTCAGCTGGAGCTGCAGCAGCTTCAAGTCCACATTTCTCTGGAACAGGAGTTCTTAGTTTTTGTCATGTCATGGACCCCTGCTCAGAAGAATGTTCTGGTCACCTCTATAATAATTGAAAGAAATGCTAAATTTCAGTTAGGGGGTAGTGAAAGTAAAGATGGAATTTTTCTTCCCATTGAAGTTCATGGACCCCTGAAATGTATATGTAACTCCAAGGGGCTTCCTAAGTTAAGAACCCCTTCTCTAGAACAGAAGATATGCTTAAGCCAAGCTCTGCATCTGAAACTTGAAAGGAAATAATACTATGTGGAATTATACTAATACCATAATACTAAAATACTACCTTTCAGTCATTTTGTATGTCAAATTTTTTTTCTTCTATTTGATACACTTAAAGTCTTCTGAGATTTATCAGGGACTGCAAAATTGCTGAAGGGATAAATCTTAGGTTCCATTTAGTGATAAAATTAATTTCTGCAGTTCTGAATAAGTTGCTACTGTTTAGTAAATGGAAGTGAGAATCTCATGTTATGAATATTGGCAAGTGCAGTGATACATAGACTCTCTAGGTTTCAGTGCTTGCTATGGGCTTTTCTCCTTCCCCTCCCCCTTCTAATTCTTTAGAGTAAAAACATCAAAGCAATAAAGTTGAAACTCATGCCAGTCAATACAGTATTTCCTGAAAAGGAACTTGAGGTTTTACTGCGCTACTCTCCTCCCCAGGTACACAGATAAATTAGACAACAAAACAGCAAATAAAGGAAGATTATTTTAAACTACTTGAGACACTCTGCAGAATTAATAAATGACTATCCATCAAGGTGTCTTACAATACTAGTAGGCATTGAAAATTTTGCCTCACTCTTTTTCTTGCAAATTTTAGTTTCGATTATTTATGAGCTAAATCTGAAAACAGATTAGGCTACAAAAATAATTGGTCTAGGTTAGAATCTTCCCCTAGGTTAGATTCCTCCCTCATTTCCTCTTCCATCCCCCTGCTCCATATCCTAAAGGGCCCAATCTCTCCCCCACTAATTTTGGTTGGTGGATGGGAATACTTCTTTTCCCTTTACTATTTCTAATGGGTTATGCTAGCTCTTTAAGTTTACAGGGAAAGTTTTCAAGTCACTGATCTTTAAAAAAAAAATTGTACACACCCTACTTGCTCAGTTTACTTTCTCTCATAGAATTAGTCTTTGTTTTTCAGCCAACAACTACATGGAGTCTAAGTGTGAGGCTGTCATCCAAGAGTTGCGTAGGTGCTGTGCTCAGTACCCCAAAGGGAGATCTGTTGTCTGTTCAGGATTTGAGAAGGAAGATGAAGAAAGGCAGAAGCTTAAATCTGCATCCAAATGAATTTCTGCTCCATGTTTTTCATCCAGGAGATTTTATTTGGTCTCCTGAACAGGTTTTCTCAGGTAGTCAACAAAAGCCAAATGGAAATTCACTTATAGGTTTAGTCAATAGATATGCCACTTAGGCAAAAGAATAGAAAGATAGAAAAAGAAATCTAGTCTGAAACAACTTATTAAAAGCAAAAATGTTTTTGTTTCGATGTAAACTTTTAAAAAATGACCTGTTTAAAATAAACATGTTTTAAATGCAGATATTTTGGTCTGGTACTGAATGGTCTCTTCATAAGGATTTCCTTGATTTTAGCAGCTTATTAATTATAATGCATAATATAGTACCTTCCAGGGAGGCAGTGTCATCTAGTGGGGAAAGCAGTGGGTGGTTTTAAGTCACAGGACCTGGGTTCAAATTCCAGCTTTGGGCCAAAATGAGGGAGTTGGATTAGATCAGTGTTCTTCCAAGTGTGGTCCAGGGACCCCTGGGGTTCCCTGAGACCCTTTCAGGGGGTCTTAGAGGCTAAAACTATTTTCATAATACTAAGATAATTTCTAATATGGTAAATATCAATAGATATAATCCACATAAACCAAAGGTCTTTAGGCGTCCTCAATAATTGTTAAGAGGGTAAAGGGATCCTGAGAAAAAAAGTGTGAGAACTGACAGACTAGATGATCTCTCACGTCCCTTCTGGCTCTAAATCTATTATTTCTTTCAGCAGCATCTCATAAACATTGATCTTTACGAATGTTTGTGAGATTCAATAATGCTGTGATGAAATTTTTTATCTCTTCAATGTGGCTCTTCCCTTCCATCAGCCTAGCCATGCTTTTTCAATCTGTAATTCTCATCTATTTTTCAAGAAATCCTTTATGGATAATCTGCACAACGTGCTAGAAATTATTTTAATGATTAATGGATGCCAGTACAACACTTGGGTTAACTCATCTTCATTACATGATTGGCCCACCTTTTTCAATCATATATGTCTCTGATGCCATTTATTTATCCACCAATCATCTGGAAATAAGCTGTAGCCTACTTCCACCTACCATGCATCTTTCCATTACCTTTTTGAAGCATCTGTGATTTTGAGTATTTTGAGATTGTTGTTGTTACCAGATTTGTGGTCATGTTATAGCAGTGAGAAAATTGTTGGTGGCAGCTAGGTGGCATGGTGGATAGAGTGGTGCTGGACTTAGAGTCAGGAAGCTCTGAGTTCAAATCCTGCCTCAGCCACTTATTAGATGTAGCTGTGTGACCCCCCAAGAAAATCACTTGACCTCTCAGCCTCAGTTTTCTCATCTTTAAAATGGGAATAATAATAGTACCTATCTCAAAGGGATGTTGTGAGTACTGAGTGAGATAACATGTAAAGCAATTTGAAAACCTTAAAGCACTAGATAAATTCAAGCTATTATTATCATGATGGGTTTTTGCAATTTAGGATTTTTGAAAATGTTGCTCATTTTCCCAAATGAAAACTAACTCATTCTATTCAAATCTGGAGCAAGATTGTTGGTCAACTGCAGTACCTGTGTAGTAACTCAGTGGACTCCATCCAACTGCATTTCGTAACCTAAGCAATGTACATTTTTCAATCACTTTTAAAATTTTTTCTCTATGATTTGCTAGGTCATTGTTTCTGTGAATAGCTGTAGCTCTTATTGAGAAAACCCTGTAGTATTCTGGGGCCAGGCATAACGCAGCAGAGGTGTCTTGGGGAGCAGTACTCCCCAAGTGTAGTTGAACCAGTTAAAAATGTAATTGGGAAATATTTAACAAAATAAATATACAATTGAACATATACAGCTCTCATATCTATTTGAGCTTGATACCACTACAATACAATATTGTTGATGGACAGGAGCTTCTGAAGAAGCTCACCATCTAGCTATAAGAAATCACCTTTTTATTTGCACTATAAGTGGAATATCCTCCATCCATCACACTGTCAAAACACCTTTGGCAAGTGTGTCTCATCTTTTTATATCTTGCTTCATGATGATACTCTGAGGAGCATTAAAATCCTCTCTTTGGAATTTGATGAAATATCAACATGTGCCTGACACTTACCTTGTTCAAGGACAACCTAAATTCTAAGGCTACATTTTGTTTAACCAGGGCAAATGCATTTTTATCTTGATAATAAACGTGTTTTTTTTTTAATTCTCTATGCCTCACAGTTACTCGTGATTATAAGTCTACTGTAAAAAAAACTGCAAAAGCTGTTGTTTCTTTTCCTGTTTTCATCTCAATACATAGGCTATTTTATAGAGAATAAAAAAGTAGGCACGAGTTTGGTGATCCTGCTATGCATGATATTTTTTACAATCTTTTAGAATATTACCATTTTAGAAGTCTTAAAGATGGGTCCCTGGCTGCCTTTCAAATCATATTGCCTCTAGATCTTCTTTTCACCTGGTATTTGGTCAGATATAGGCACTCCACAGCTCCATATTCTTAAGTATCATTTCTACTTCCTTCTATAACACATTGTTTACTGTAGTGAAGAGTCCAAATGGTCCATGGTCTTCAATGATGAGAATATATTGCCATGGAAACTATTGAAAACCTCTTCCATTTCACACCTATTTATCATTCTTTCAGTTTTCATCATGAAATTCTTTGGTTTAGTTGGCTCTCAAACTAAGAATGCTGCAGAATTATTTTCTCCACTATATTTCATTGTTTTGTGAGGTAACATAAACTATAATGTTCACCCATCTTCCTCTTGAATGTTTTTCAAATGAACTTCTACTCTTTTAACTTTTGTAGACTTTTACTGCAGTGTATCTCTTCATTTTCTTGGTAAGGAAATCAAATGTTTGTGTTGACTGTGTTACAGTGGCTAAAATTCTCTTAAGGAATCATGGTGATTGGTGTCAATGGCTTTTTCATCAGTTTCTTATTTTTCAGTCAACTGTACACAGTATCTTCTTATCTATATCCTAATTTTGCATTGATTTTGACTTTTGCTGTAACTGGTCTATTATCTATGTACAGATAGCTGATTCTGAAATTACTCCTCCATAGATAAGCCATTTCCTATTAAAATAACAATTTCATTTAAAAAAAATCAGTCTCCCCATTTCTAGTACCTTCCAATTCTTTGGGAGGCAACGTGGTATAGTGTAAAGGGTTCTGGTATCCCATGAAATACTTCTCGTTACCTTTGGGCATATGATGAAACTAATTCTCCCAACTCCTTTATCTGTGCCTCCCTCCCATTTGAACTCCTTTCAAATAAAGGAGTTGGAAATCTGTAAGCCATTGTTTCACTTAGCTGCATCTTGTATGTGTATTTCTGATTTCACATATAGGAATTATGTCTATATGGATATAGATCAGTTTGTCTAGTGTATTAATTTTTTAGTCATTGGACAAAGATTACACATTTCAAGTACCAACAATACTTATTACCCATTTTTAACACTTGCCTCTTTTTTTTCCCGTTGTTACTATGGACTAGAAGGAGGTAGGTGGCTGTACAGGGCTCAGAGCCATTTTGTATTTATCAGTTTCATGGATTTCAGTGATCAAAATACTCATTTGGAAGGTCAAAAGGTCAAGAGCATTCCAGGCATATAGGAATCTATTCTAGGGAACAGGTGAGTAATCTGTTCATTAAGACCTCCAAAAAGGTTTATTTCAACTTTAAGATGCTAAGATTTCACAGAATTGCCATCAGAAGGCTTCTTGTGAGATATCTAATCCTCTCCCTACCCAAAAAGGAATCTCTATTACAACACATCCAACAAGATTTAATAGTTGTACCATAAGAAAGAATTCACCAAATCACTAATATTCAGAGGAATGTAAATCAAAACAACTGAAGTTTCAAATTGCAAAGGTGACAAGTGATGGAAAGTCATTGGAGGGAATGTAGAAAGACAGGCATACACAAATACATTGTTGATGGTTCTATGAGTTGGTCCAACCATTCTAAAACACAATTTAGAATTTTGCCCCCAAAATAACTAAAATGTCTGTACCCTTTGACCCGGAAATCCCATGCAAGGTATGTCCTTCCAGTGAGGTCAGGCACAAAGAAAAGGCTCATATCTACCAAAACGTTGAGAGCAGTAGATTTTGTAGCATCCAGACATTAGAAGCAAACTGGGCACTTAGTGATTGGGAAAAGGCTAAAGAAATCACACACAATGGAATATTGCACCATAAGAAAGGATGATTATAAAGAATTCAGAAAACTGGGAAGATGGAGAGTAGTAAGCTGAAGTAAACAAAATTATACCCAGTGGCTCCAACAATATAAACAAAAAGAGTAATAAAAAGAAACCACATTGTTGTGTGATGAAGCTTGGCACAAGAGAAGACTTGAGAATACACCTTCCCCTCACTACAGAAGTGAGGACCTATGGAGGTAGAGCATTTAGTATCAGATTCAGTCTATGTGTTGGTTTTACTCTGAATATTTTTCCTTTATCTTTTTATTTTATTATTTTTTGGGGGAGGGGAGTGAGGCAATTGGGGTTAAGTGACTTGCCCAGAGTCACACAGCTAGTGAATGTTATGTGTCTGAGGCCAGATTTGAGTTCAGGTCCTCCTGACCCCAGGGCCAGTGCTCTATCCACTGCGCCACTTAGCTGCCCCAATTGTGCCACCTAGTTGCCCCTATTTTTTTCTTTTCTAATCTTCATTAAAAGAGAAGGCTTGATTCCTGGGGGGCAGGGGAGGATATATTTGGAAATGAGTCATGTAAAAGCCAAAAGAATCAAAAGATTTAATGGTTATAGAACATGTAGCATGGCATGCTTTACATATTCCTGTGGTTGCACCCCTGAAGTTGGATTTTTAAAAAATTCATTATTGGTTGTAAAACATATGATGTAAACTCATGCTGTCTGTGCTTACAATTCTAAAGCACAATTTTAAAAGTGTTTATTATATGCTTAACCATTAATAGTAAATGTGTAAAACAAGGGACCAAAAAATCATGCCTTACTGCCCCCAGCAATAATAAGATAGAAACAAATAACAAAAGAATAAAATACTCCTGTGTTCTCCAAGCCTATCCAAAATTCTGCCACCTTTGTTCCCACTGAAGTACCAGGAAGCAGAGCGATATAAGGGATGTACCCATAAGTGGAAGTCAGAGGATCTGAGCTTTAAAAACAGGTTTATTTCAGCATTGAATGATGACTTACCAGTGTTTTAACCATTAGGGGTTTTTTTTAGT